CAGGATATGTTAGGCGATATGTGTAGATTCGATTAGGTTGTGATTTCATCGGAACTATAGGCTTGATTTGCTTTTTAGGTATGTAGTGAGGGTTTGGGCAACAATAAGTAGATACTTTTAATACTTGCTATGGCTCCAAGTAGGTATATTTGAGCATCAGTGTGCAAGTAAAGCTCCAAAGTAAGCATTGCTCATGTTTCTGAGTTTTGATGTAAGAATAAAAATCTGATTTTTGGTGATGACAGTTTCAGCTAGATGAGTATTCTTTAGTCTATGTAGCTCGATTTGAGATGATGAGGATCGTAAGTGTTTCATGAAGCAATGATCATTACTTAGTCTTTCTCTTAGCAACAGAATTGTATAAGTTCTTTTTTAATAAACCCATAAATTTCCACATGTTTTCTATGGCATTTTGGTTTCCTCTACAAGTGTGTTGTGATCATGATTTGTATAGTTTTCAACTTTTCATTTGATTTTAATATGCGGGGTTTGGCTTTATGTTATTCGGTTTCTACTCTATATAATCTTCACTGGTTAGGATGGTTTAGTTGTCAATGGATCTTCGAATATCGAATGCTGATATGCTCAACACTTTAAGGAGCAGGAGAAATTGGAGCACAAGTTTTGAAACATGAAGACACAACTCATTTTCCCATTACTTTGTTCAAGTCGTTTTCTTTACAAGTAGATTATGTTTTCTTTTTATTGTACAGATTCCACCGTTTGTTTTTGAAATATGAATTTTTTATTTTAAAAACCCCTAATGAAAATTTACCAATGGAGGAGACAAAAATTAATATTTTCTAATGGGATTCTTAACTAAAAATGATGAAAAATTTATATTAAAAAATTTGTTAAAAACCCCATTAGGGGTTTACCAATGGACATACTCTTAGCATATGTGTAGTGTTTTCAACACTAACAATTACTTTTAACATAAAAATATCAAGAATAATGTAAAATCCAACTATTTTTTTTTCATTTTCCTAATTAATATCAATTTATAGTGTTCAAATTAAATTTACTATTCCTTGACCCAAAAAAAAATAATAATAATAATTAAATTTACTATTCTTGGTAAGAATAAGGAAATAGAGTGCATCACTTTACCTTGACTTCCACTCCTACACGGGATAGGTTTTCCGCGTTGTGCATCTCCACGATAGCTAGCCCTCTCAAGCCGTTCAGCTTCCAAGTTCGGTCAAGCGATTCTTCATACACACACCGAAACATATCGGTGAAATGCTTGAACTTTGTATTTGTTTTGTTCTTCAAATCCAGGGAAAAGGATTTCAGGATGAATTGGTCGAGCGTCTCTTCAATACAAAGAGCCTCCATATGGCAATGGAACAATTTATCAAAAATGAAATACGGAAGTTGATTCTCAAGCAACTTGAGATCTCCTAACACTGTTGAAATGTAAAAATGGGTGCCCAAAATCAGATCACCTAATCTTCCGTCAAGTCTGGTAAAGAACTCCATGATGAAAACTGAATCGACAAGGATAAGGTTCACGAAGTCAACAGATAATATCGATTAGTATGTACCGCATAACTTCCCCAAATGCTTCCTTCTTCAGCTTGTATGGTTTTTTTCATTTCCTCAACACCAGCTTTCCCGACTCTATTGGTGAAAGATGTTAAGTACTTCTCTTTTTTTTTCCTCCATTGCCTGATAGAGACTGTTTTGTACATTAGAGACATGCTATTTATATATCTTATAGAGTATTTTTGTGTGTTTGTATTATGTTCGTTTTTCTAACAGTTTGTGGTGTAATAGACGTTATAGTTGTC